CTCATTGAGGTGGTCTAGGGCAGCAGTAAATGCTCTCCTGGCAAAATAGCACAGGAGGTAATAGTGTACGAAGTTGATTAATCGATAAGCAAAAGCTTATACGTTAATGCTATAGACTACATGCATTTCCCTCCCCACCCACCCCCCACAGCCAGTAAATTTTTTAGCAGGCTGGCCAGCAGCACAGCTCACTCTTGGCTTGCGACAGGTCTGGGACCTACCCCACTGCAGCTCTGCATTTCAAGTGTATTAGAAGCTGGGCAGGCAACCTGGCTCAGTCTTGGCTTGTGCCAGGTCCAGGACCTATCCCTGCTGTGGCTCTACATTTTCAGTGTATTAGGAGCCAGGCAGGGAGGCAGCCAAACTCTGTTTCGGTTTGCACTGGGTCCAGGAGCTCAGACATCACCTAGACGGGCTGCTGCATCTATCAGCTTGACTCCTCAGGAGTGAGGTTGGAGTGCACTGGCTACCAGCCCCGCCCCCGGGGGACTATAGAATAGTCAACTAACCAATAAGAATTCATGAGTTTACTCAAGTATTCAATTAATTGATATTTAACATACCTAGCCCACACGGACACTTTTGTGAGAACATGCATCAATCAGCCCCTGCCATACCTAACCACCAGTTTTACCAATGAAACTGCTAATGTAAACACCTAAGTGTTAAGAGAGTCTTCTCTCTCCTTTCAAAGATTTCTAAAGACTCATCTATTACATCAAACATCCCAGCCATGCCAGCCTTCTAGCCTATATTTGTTCCATGTCAATGTATGGCGTGTCTACACTGAATTTGTGCCGCTATAGTAATTTAAGTTTAGCCACATGCTAAGTTACATAACACAATTTGATTTCCAGAAAAGAAAATTGACGCTCACCCTCTTTGGTCATCTGTCATGCGAGACAGAGTTCTGTATCACCCTTGTGAGGCCAAGAATTCTTCCACTGCCTGCCCGATATTTGTGTAGATAAAAATATTCTTCATTCAGCACTATAAACTTACAAATTTTACATGCCTATTGTTAAGAGACCTTCCTACTTCTGAAACTGGCCAATTGGATAATCTGATGTTAACCGAAAAAAGTCAATAAAGTAGCTGACACTAATTCAAATCAGGATCAGATGCTAATTAGAACGCTAAGCTCATGGCAGTAGTTTCAACAGCACTTTCAACATTACATCTCAGCTAAAACTAGATTGAGGCTACCACGTGAATCTAATATATAAAGGAGAATGTTTGTATGTTTCTGCACTTATAACTTGGGCACTATAAGAGCTACCGCAACCAAACTTTGCATGGGGTAACCTTTCCTCCAGAAGAAGGTTTTAAGGTACTTTTGCCAGTGCAGGGAGAAGCAGCTTCCCGGGGGAAGCGGTGGGGACAGTCACTCACTAAGGGTACGTCTAGACTACCGCGTTTTGTCGACAGATACTGTCGACAAAACTTCCGTCGACAAAGAGCGTCCAGACACATTGAGTTCTATCGACAAAGCAAGTTGCTTTGTCGACAGAACTCCATAGTCTGGACGCAATGTTACAGGCAATAACACCTTCTGTCGACAGAAGGTGTTATTGCCTGTAACATTGCGTCCAGACTATGGAGTTCTGTCGACAAAGCAACTTGCTTTGTCGATAGAACTCAATGTGTCTGGACGCTCTTTGTCGACGGAAGTTTTGTCGACAGTATCTGTCGACAAAACTCACAGAGGAGCAAGGGGAGGGGTGGTGCTCCATGCGGCAGCTGGCCCACTTGCCTCTACCAGGCTGTTCCACTTCACAGGCGCATCCGGGGAGGGGGATCGCCCTCCTCCCTCCCACCCCGATGTACTCGGCCTGGGCCCCTCCCCTCCGGCGGGGCCCAAGGGTTGCTGAGTGGTGGGCTGGAGCTTGCAGCCACCGCTAGGGGGCGGTTGCAGGTGCAATGGGGCAATTCCCAATGGGGAGGCAGCGGCCACGGTGCTGGGAGCAGCCTAGGGTCTGGTGCAGCTTCCTGGTCACATGGCGGGGGGCCCCCCG